AACTTTTATCATTTCATAAAATAACACTTCATGTTGATAGTGAAATTTAGTTGAAATTTGCTAATTTATCAATTTACTTTTATCATTTCATAAAATAACACTTCATGTTGATAATGAAATTTAGTTGAAATGGTTAATTTATCAATTTAACTTTTATCATTTCATAAAATAACACTTCATGTTGATAATGAAATTTAAGTTGAAATGGTTAATTTATCGATTTAACTTTTATCATTAAATAAATAAAACTTTATAATGACAAAGTTTTTTTTTCTTTTTCTTCAATTAAAATACAAACATCGATTATCATTATTAAATTTTGAAATTTCGTTTTTCTTTTTCTTTTTCTTTTTTTCTTTTTTTTTTTGAACTTTATTTGTTTTAATACAATATTTCCCATTCACGTTACCATTTTGTCCTTCTTTTCATCATTTGTTCAATTCTTATTTTTCTATTCGTTTCTTTTTTCAACCAACCAACTCTTCGTACTTTCATTATTTCAACTTGTTCAATATCATATGATGATGAAGATGATGTTAGTTTTTGTTTTTTTTTTATTTCTTTTTTTTTTTTTTGTTTTTTGATTATTTACCATTTTGCTATTTATTAGCATGGAAGATTAAATATTTGAAGAAATTGAATAAATTCAAACTTTTTAAATTTTACCATTTCAAATTTCAATTTTTAAATCTCCTAACAGTAGTTTGTTAAACTTTAATGCAAAAATAAAATTTAAAAGAGAGAAAAAAAAAAAGGAAAAGGAAGATATCTGTAAAAAAAATGAATGATAAATGTTTTAAGGAATGAATACATTCATCAAAAAAAAAAAATTTTCAATATTTTATCAACAAATTTTCAATTTTCATTCAATGCTAATTTTTAGTCTGATTTAGTTGTAAATTTTTAAAATTTTCAGTTTCTATCTTCTTTTATTTGTTATAATGGTTAAATCAGAAATGTATCATGCAATTATCAATAGTTTCAATGGTAATATCATTTGTGTCAACAATGTTTGCTATAATTCCAATGGCATATTAGTTGCTGGCAATACTGGATGCTTTGTTATTGTAATTTTTTCATTTCATTCTTTCATTTAAATAAGTAATTTTGATCGATGATCACTTTTTAAATGATAACAGCAAAGGGGGAAAAAAAAAAGAAAGTATCACATAAACCTACAAATTAATAATAAGGGACCATTTTTCTTTTACTTCATTTATTTTTATTTTATGCCTTTTTTTTTTTTTTTTCTTTTCTTAAAATAATTTTCATTGAAAATATTTAAAAAAAAAATGTTAAAATCGAAATTTATTGAATGCCAAAATTTGAAATTAAATTGAATATATTTTATATATTTATAATTTTGTAGATTAAAAAAAAAGAAGAATAAACATAATTTTTAGAATGGCAAAATCTATAAAGATGGCAAATATTTGCGCAATATGACATGGGATGATTATCAGAAATTAAAAACTTATTATGATGAAGTAAATCGTTGGAGTGTGGATCTTCAAGATAGTATACAGCGAGTTAGTTTTTTTTTTTTTTTTTAATTTTATTTTATAGTTCTTTTTAGTATCGAAAAATAAATAAATAAATGATAATAAGATAATGTATAAACTTACAGTTTGATGCAAGAAAAAAAAAAGAAATAATTAATATTATTTCATTTAGTAAAGAGCTAATTAGTGATATTTTATAATGCATTATTAAATGATAAAAAATTTCGGAAATATGCCATTTTTGGCTTATAATAGCATAAATTGTTCCAAATAAACTATTTATAATGTCAATTAATTAGATTTTAATAAAATTATTTTCAAATTTGATGATATATGCAGGATGAAATAAAAGAAAAAGAAATTCCCTTACTTTTTTTTTCCACATTTCCTTTTTTTTATTGCTTTTTACTATGACGAAATTTATTTGCTTCTTGACCCTTTGACCTTTGTAAAGCCTCATTTGTTTAAATGACACTTTGGAAGAGAAATTTGGCTGGTTAAAAAGGAGCAAGAAAATGGCTAGGATTTCATTGTTTATAAATTCATATAGCATTCCTAATTAATGATTAAAAAATGATCAAACATTATATGTGGGATAGCATCATTCAGAAGCAACAATTTTTTTTTATTAAAAAATTAATTAAAAGAATCTAATTAGGAAATTTGAAAAAAATTTAATTAACAGTTCAATTAAAAGATTTTTTCCAAATAAAATGATTTTAATTTTTTTAATTTTGCAAATACATTAAATTAATTGAAAAACAACAAGTAAAAATTTGGTATGGTATGATAAAAAAGAATTGAGTATTGAGTAATAATTTTATCCTTTTTTATTGAGTAATAATTTTATTGAGTATTGAGTAATAATTTTGAGTAGTAAAAAAGTTAACAGAAAATACTTAATGTAAATGAATTATCAAAAATTCAACCTAATAATAATTTAATAATTTACAGAGTTTTCCATGGGATGAACGAAATCCATCACATACTGAATTTCCATGGAATATTATATCTGGAGCATTAAATCGAAATACAAAAATTAAAATAGCAATAGAAAGAAACGATTTATGCCTTTCCCAGTGGCACCATATTTTTGTTGAAATATGTTACATTGTAAAATAGTTAAAAAAAAAAGAAAAAAGAAAAATTAATGATATGTGAAAAAAACGAAATAAATTATGAGGACAATTATAATTATCATAATCATTTAAGATTATTTATTTGCATAAAACAATAATTTAACTATCTATGATCATTGCTTTTTTTTTAAAAAAAAAGCTTTTCTTGAAAAAAAAACTAAGTGAAGCAAATTTTAGTAGAATTTTAAAAGGATCGAAATTTATGATGAGAGATAGAAAAATCGAATATTTTTTGCAAATTTTATTCTTTTACTCATCCCTTTAAATTGATTTTGCAAAAAAAAAAAAAAAAATAAGAAGAAAAAAAATATGTATATATAATTACTTTCAATATTATATGCTTATTGTTAATATTATAATTCTAGTATTTCAGTCTTCATGTTACAATTCCAGTATTCCAGTCTTTATGGAGATTTTTGTTTCATCATGTTGGTGATACATTTTCTTTTTTTTTTTTTTTTTT